GTGCGCGTGTGTGTGCGTGCGCGTGTGTGTGCGTGCGCGTGTGTGTGCGTGCGCGTGTGTGTGTGTGCGTGCGCGTGTGTGTGCGTGCGCGTGTGTGTGCGTGCACGTGTGTGTGCGTGTGGGGGCGCGCGTGGGGGCGCGCGTGGGGGCGCGCGTGGGAGCGCGCGTGGGGGCGCGCGTGGGGGCGCGCGTGGGGGCGCGCGCTGTGGGGGCGGCGCGTGGGGTGTCGCACAGTGGGGGCGCGCGTGGTCGCGTGTGGGACCGCGCGTGGGGGGGCGCGCTGTGGGGAGCGCGCTGTTGTGGGCGCGATGTGGCGCGCGCTGTGGGGGGCGCGCGGTGGGGGCGCGCGTGGGGGCGCGCGTGGGGGCGCGCGTGGGGGCGCGCGTGGGGGCGTGCGTGGGGGCGTGCGCGCACGCGCACACGCGACAAACACCCACGCACGCGCGCACACGCACACGCACACGCACACGCACACGCACACGCACACGCACACGCACCCACACCCACACCCACACCCACACCCACACCCACACCCACACCCACACACACACGCACGCACGCACGCACGCACGCGCGCGCGCGCGCGCGGGCGAGCGGGCGAGCGGGCGGGCGGGCGCGCGTGCGTGCGTGGGTGCGTGGGTGCGTGGGTGCGTGGGTGACTGGGCCCGTGGGTGCGTGGGTGCGGGGGTGCGTGGGTGCGTGGGTGCGTGGGTGCCGTGGGTGCGTGGGTGCGTGGGTGCGTGGGCGCCGTGGGTGCGTGGGTGCGTGGGTGCGTGGTTGCGTGGGTGCGTGCCTAGAGGGCGGAATGTAGCACTATTTTTTGGTTTTCCATAAGAACCAAAAATATTTGGTTCAACCAAAAAATCCATGTATTGTCTTGCTGCATGCCAGCATTGAAAGCGAGGTAGAGAAACTGGATACACCAAATCTCTGGCTCTGTACAGCAGACTGGGCAGGTACTCCTGTTTGTGCATCATCGTACACTGCGCATGTGTCACGCCTCATTATACCGACAAAGCCATTGCGACACGTAGCACAAAAGTCTCAGTCGGCTGTGTGACTTGCGTTTTCACTTGCGAGTTAGGCCTTGTTGAGGGGTCTTTTTGCCCCTTGCTTCTGGCTGGCAAGTATGCAAAGCGTCATGTAGAAAAAAAGAAGAAGAAACAAAACGAAAAATGAGAAGCCGCCTGTTATAACAGAGAGGAAACGTATCTGGAGTCACGTGGCAAATTGCGTTCTGTAGTAGGCATTGTTGGTGAAATGAGTCGGCCAGTCAAGCGATACAGCAAACATTCACCACATATGCAAGGTAGCAACCTCTGAAACGCACACGGGATTAAGCAAGCATGTCGTGCATGAGCTCTGTTCAAGCCGTACGCACAAACACCCAGCATGTATGAGCCAGTGGCTGGGCGAGCTAGCAGAACAAGGGTCCTACACCCATTGTTGCCTCATTAAGGCATGATGTTGTGTGGCCACTCTTTCCTGCACCCTTCAACGCACTTCCCAAGCAGCAAACTGTGTCCAACCGCGACTTCTCACAGGCAAAGATCGCGCAAGATTGCGCCGGGCAACCAAAAAAAATGCGTCGGGCAACCAGTTTTGCGCGCAATCTTGCGCAATCTCGCGCAACATGGGAGTTTTCCAGGCTCATTCTAATTAAACAGCATCAAAGCGAAAGTTGCTATGTGAGAAATAGTGTAAGTTTATCAATCTAGCTTTGTCCAAAAATGCTCTTTTTTTGGGACACGCTTTCCTCCGCCTGCTTGATGCACAACCTAACGCAATGTGTTTTCCAATCATTTCCTCGGGTGAGAGGTTTCGTTTCGGATTCAGCCGCTTGGCGAGATTGCGCAAGATTGCGCGGAAAACTGGTTGCCCGGCGCTTTTTTTGGTTGCCCGGCGCAATCTTGCGCGACCTTTGCCTGTGGAAAGTTGCTGTTGGACACATGTTGCTGCCTGGGGAAGCCTGTCTGTGGTAAAGCAAGAACGGGTGTTGAAGTGTTGGCGCTGCATAGTATCCTCGATCGTACGTGGGTGCCATGTGTTGGGCACGCTTGCTCCCATGGTCCGTGCTTCGCCCAGAAAGAGCATGAAAGAGCGACATGTCCCAGCCCAAAAGAATGAACTGGTTGATGGATTGAGGCTGCGCGGTCTAATTTAAAGAATTTTAAGTATTTAAGGCGGTGGCGGCAGCAGGTTGTGCTCCGTTGCAATATTTTGCGCCGGGGCAGGGAGGGGGCAGGGAGGGGGGCAGGGAGGGGGGTAGGAGGGGGGCAGGGAGGGGGGCAGGGGGGGTAGGAGGGGGGTAGGAGGGGAGGAGGGGGGTAGGAGGGGAGGAGGGGGGTAGGAGGGGGGTAGGAGGGGGGTAGGAGGGGGGTGGGAGGAGGGTGGGAGGAGGGTGGGAGGAGGGTGGGAGGAGGGTGGGAGGAGGGTGGGAGGAGGGTAGGAGGAGGGAACGTCCCCGGCGCCGAGGGAGGAGGGTTAGAGGGCGGGTAGGAGCGAGGGTAGGAGGAGGGTAGGAGGAGGGTAGGAGGAGGGGTAGGAGGAGGGTAGGAGGAGGGTAGGAAGGAGGGTAGGAGGATGGTAGGAGGAGGGTAGGAGGAGTGTAGGAGGAGGGTAGGAGGAGGGTAGGAGGAGGGTTAGAGGGGGTTAGGAGGAGGGTAGGTGGAGGGTAGGAGGTGGGTAGGGAGGGGAGGGTAGGAGGAGGGTAGGAGGAGGGTAGGAGGATGGGTTAGAAGGAGGGTAGTAGAGGGGAGGAGGAGGGTAGGAGGAGGGTAGGGAGGAAGGGTAGGAGGAGGGTAGAAGGAGGGGGAGGAGGAGGTAGGAGGAGGGTATGTAGGAGGAGGGTAGGAGTAGGGTAGGAGGAGGGTAGGGAGGAGGGGTACGGATGGAGGTAGGAGGAGGGTAGGAGGAGGGAGGAGGAGTGTAGGAGGGGGTAGGGAGGTGGGTAGTAGGAGGGTTAGGAGGAGTGGTAGTAGGAGGGTAGTAGGAGGGTAGTAGGAGGGTTTGAGTTCGGAGGGTAGGTAGAGAGGGTAGGGGGAGGAGGGTAGGAGTGAGTTAGGAGGAGGGTTAGGAAGTGAGGGTAGGAGGAGGGTAAGGAGGAGGGTAGGAGGAGGGTAGGAGGCGGGTAGGAGGAGGGTTGGAGGAGGGGTGGAGGAGGGTAGGAGGAGGGTAGGAGGAGGTAAGTAGGAGGGTTGGACGGAGGGTAGGAGGAGGGTAGGAGGAGGGAAGGAGGAGGGTAGGAGGAGGGTAGGAGGAGGGTAGGTGGGAGGGTTAGGTAGGATGTGGTGAGGAGGGTGGAGGAGGGTAGGAGGAGGGTAGGAGGAGGGTAGGAGGGTGGGTAGGAGGGGGTAGGAGGAGGGTAGGAGGAGGGCAAGCGAGGAGTGTAGGAGGGAGTGAGGGTAGGGAGGAGGGTAGGAGAGAGGGTAGGAGGAGGGTAGGAGGAGGGTAGGAGGAGGGTAGAGGAGTGGTAGGAGGATGGGTAGGAGGAGGGTAGGGAGGAGGGTAGGAGGAGGGTAGGAGGAGGGGTAGGAGGGGGGGTAGGAGGAGGTAGTAGGAGGGTAGGAGGAGGGTAGTAGGTGGGTGTAGGGGTGGGGGGGGGTGGGGGGGGGGGGGGGGGGGGGGGAGGGTAGTAGGAGGGTAGTAGGAGGGTAGTAGGAGGGTGGTAGGAGGGTGGTAGGAGGGTGGAGGAGGGGACCATTTGTGTTCCAGGCTGTGGACCCCCCCCTCCCCTTTCCCCTCCCCCCAACGGGGGTGGGGGGGGGGGGGTTGGGTTGTTGGGTGGGTGGTTGGGGTGTGGCTTGCGCTTGCTTAGGGTTGGTTTAGGGTGGGGGTTGGCTCAGGGCTGATTTAGGTTTGGTTTCGGGTTGGTTTAGGGTGGGTATAGGGTTAGTTTAGGGTTGGTTTGGGGTTGGTTTCGGGTTGGTTTAGGGTTGGTTAAGGGTTGATTTACAGTGGGTTTAGGTGAGTATTGGGTTGGTTATGTTGGCTTAGGGTTGGTTAAAGGTATATTCGTGTTAAGGGTTAGGGGCGTAGGATTGTTTTAGGGTTGGGGTTTGGGGGTTGTGGGTTGTTGTCCTACGTGTCGGGATGCAAGGGTGCGAGTTCATGGGCTCGAGGAGGTGGTCTGGGGACCATAGCAGCGGGGTGGGCGGAACCCTACCCTTGGTGGCCTGGGGACTGGAACATATATGTATATTACATATAGATAAACCCTTGTGCGTTGTGTTGGATGCAACCTAAAAAAACCTGCATATCCACCCAAGCAAGAAATTGGCGAAGAATGCTTCTGTTGAACGCTGAAAGTTACCTCTACAATCAACTTTGTGCAACCAGGTAGCTGCTCAAAGATGCGCTTTCCCTCTTGGGTACCTTCTTCGCCTCTCAGGGAAAGTGAAGCACCCCAAGAAAGTCCACGCTTTGCTGAACCGCTATGCAAAGTCTATTGGCACGGCAAAAAAACAACTGCCCCCCCCCCCCCGCTTTGGTCCAAAAATACATTGCCCACTGCATACCTGGCAGGGCACACTGCCTCAAAAAAGCCATGCTTTGTATGCACCCCAATTCGCAAAAAGTGCGATATCAAGCACACTCGCGGGGCAAACAATTGCATGGGACATTCTGACATGTCAGAATTCACTGTCTTTTTAATGCACCTGGTGAACTCGAGAGTTCCAAGCCAGCAAAAACACAGTCAGATCGCTTGTTCCAGGGCACTGGCGCGGAGGAGGCAGCTCCACTGACAACTCCGACGCCACCCGCCGCATGAAGCGGTCGGGAATACCACAAAGAATACCAGCGCCATCTCCTGTGTCCTGTGCGAAAACCGTCTCAACACGTTTGACTCTCAACATGTCCGAGCTCTCTGAAAACATGTCCAATGATGTGCGTCTCCTTCTCACAGCCGCGGGCTCCTCTGTGATCCAAATTCTCCAGCACCTGTGATCATAACAGCCGGGATTCGGCTTCTGTACTCGAACCACTTAAGCCTGAAGTGCGCCATCAACAATGTCTCGACCAGGTGCGCCTTGCGGCGTAGCAGGCAAGTGTATCATGCAAGCGATTCTTTAAAGGGGCAAAAAGACTGTCTGTGTACCAGGACACCTGTCAAATTGGCGACCATTCCAACACCGCAGCTGTCCTGCCGACTGCGAAAACCACATGTAGGTGGTGGCTCTGTCACATTCATTTCCTAGAGTAAAATGGCAACTCAAAAGAACTACAACGGGCAAAGAGAAACATGTGAACTACATGTCAACATGTCCTTCTCACAGCGCGGGTCATAAAGCCCTTGGGCTCCAGGGATGGCGTCGAAGCCCTTGTATGGCCTCACAGGCAAGTTCAAATGACAAGCTCGGCCCAACTTGTTCTGGCAAGCGATCTGGATTTTCCATCCACAAAACACGTGCAAGCTAATTACAACCAAAATGGGCAAACTGTTCCAAGCTTAATGACAAACCTGCACGACCCGGCCACTTGTTTTGTGCCGCCGAAGCACATGCCGTCAATCTGCAGCTTCTTGGAACTTCTGTGATGGTCCAAGGTCAAAACGGTGTGAGCAAATGCTGCAGGGCATCTCATGATGACATCGGGGCAAACACAAGGGCTTGCAAACGGACACCTCTAATCTCAGAGCAATACAGAGTTTGGCCCAAGGCGCATGATGTTGTTCACAATTGTTTGAGTCGCCTCTGATTACCATATTGGATTGCAGCTCAGCCCAGCACCGCCCTTTACGCACAACGAGCCCGGGCCCATAAACACGTGCGGTTGCATCGCTGGAAATCGTCAAAAGGCAAGTGACCAAATAACCATGGCAAGGGCAAGATATGCCACCAAGGGCAAAAAACAACACTCTGTCAATTATAACGTAGCTTCGATGACACGTAACCAATGAAGCCTGCGCCCGCCAGCGAATTTGCTGCTCCTCTCTGAGCAAAATACTGGAATCGGACTCGACAATCGTGCAAGGGCCTGACCGAGTCATCGGGGAATAAACGGCTATCAAACAAAAGTATAACTTCAGCAAGCAAACTAAAGTATAACTTGAATAATTGGATGGAATAGTTCTACACCTTAAACCTGTGACATTAATCTGCGTTTGTGCGGCCCACGAAATGTCCAAGCTACACACCCTTCGTGCAAATGCCGGTGATTGTGTCAGGAGACAACCCGACCGTATTGCGCGTTCAGCAGACTGTAGAAACAGTCAGCCCGTCATCCCCTCACATTGTCTCGACCAAATTGCCGATGTTTGTTCTGATCGGGGGGCACGAGGATCTATCTGATCCAAAGCTTCAATGGAAGCACGAGCACATCAAATCCAACAATCATGTAAGCCAAGGGGGTCCAGACTACTTTCCCTTTGGAAAACACCCTGTCCGCCTCCACGATTGGCGCGAAAAAAAAAAGGAGGGGAAAAAGAAACGAAACGAAACCGTAGTGCCAACCAGAGCGTACCAAATCTTCGACCTTAGATCTTACAAAAATGTCTACCAGGGCCCAACCCATTACATCCGAAAAAAAACCCTTGCAAACTGAACAGCCCTCAACCAAAGAGGACAGACCGAAACTCGAGCCAACAGGGCCATTAGCCCACAAGCCCCCTTGACCAACATCATCAGCCAGGGCGCGCGGGGAACCAAACAACAGCGTCTACGCGTGAGTCGCGCCAGGAGGAGAGACGCAGGTCCCAAGATCAAAAGCATGACATGTCAGCGGAGCGTGCACAAAATCAGAACATGCCAAACTGCACAGACATGTCAGTCTCTGATGTGAAATGAATTCAGCGAATCTGCTCCAACTCTCGCTCCCCGCTGTTTTACCCATCACCGAGACCGTCCGCTATAAAGGTCGGGGGTAAAAGTCACAGCTTTGCCGGGTGTAGAGGCCCAGGCGCTAAGCCCACAGCACCCCCAGCAAATTTCACGCTGTCTTCGCTCTGCCACTGCTCCCCCGTCGATCACGAGCGAACACCCGACGCCTCCGCCGGCTAAACCAGCAGGGGTTCCCAAAGCGGTCGGGGCAAATCAAAGCCACCCCGATCCTGTGCTCTTAGCGGTCTCGGAAGCTTATGGGTTTGAAGGCGGAACGGCAGGTCAACCGGGTTGCTGTAGCTCGGCACTCGTTCAACCCAGACCCGCATGTTGCACTCAGCTTCCAAAAAGCTGACTTGCTGCGAAACATGGAGGGGTTTGGAGTCACCCTTTTGACCACCCACGAATAAAATAACCCGTTGGCCAGACAACTCCGCCTCCAGGGCGGCCAGCCCGCAGAGAACACCAAACATCTCGACTTGAGCACCGTCAACCAGCGGCGCTTCAACTCGTCGGGGACATGTCCGTGAAGAGCAACGTTCTGCCCGGATGCCGCAAAAAGCGGACTTGCCTTCAAAAGCCCCATCAGTATAAAGCACACAGGGCCTTAAGGAGTCACTGATGCGCATCACCTTTGGCTTCAGCCGGGCCAAAGTCAACTGAAGACCTTGGCGCAACCTGGCACGCTGGTGCTGCGGGCAATCCTGACCAGAGGCAAGTCCCGAGCACCATTTGGTACACAGCTTCAACGAGAGCCCGAGAACAAAGCCACTTGCAAGCCCATGCAGGGACGCACAAAGCCACTTCTGCGCGGCTTGTCCTCCAATCTCTCTGCTGCACTGATGAAATTTGCTTGATTTGGTGTTCCGTGTTCTTGGCAGTCAGACATCCTTGGTGCAGCAGAGAAACGTCAAACGACAACTGCAAGACCACGGCGGCCGGGGCAAACGGCATGCCTTTCTTTCCCGACAGAGCATGTCTCCATCCCAGAAGAGTCAGCAAAAAGGAACATTGTCTACCGCAGATGCAAAGGAGTCCCACGCAAGCAGCGGCAAATCGTCGCAGTAGCTGCAAGCCAGAATGTTATACCTGACCACCAGTATCCACCAGAGTGCCCGCGAGAGCTTGTTGAACTCGAAGACACTTGCCGAAGCACCAAAAGGCAAGGCATTGGAGAGGTAGAAGTTAGAATCTTGATCACTGCTTCAATCCGAAAGGGAACAAGCGGCAAAAGATAAAAGAGTACGACCGACAAACATGTGCGCATGCTCTTTTTCTTTATAAGGCGTTGCTTGGAAGTAAAGGCTCTGGGGCGCAGGGGGAAAGACAGCGCGTGTCCTTTCCCCGTGTCTGCACATGCATTTGTGGGGCCAGAAACCATGCGGGCGAAAACGAAAGCGAGCTTGCGGCTTGCCGTCGAATGCGGATGTGTTTCCGCGGCTGAGCTGATCAGCCCACACGTTGTGCTCGCCTGGGATGTGCGAGGCTAGTACTGACCATTTGTGCTTGTAGGCCCATGCGGCGACCAATTGCACAAAAAGGCCATGCTGTGGTGAACAGCTTGTTCGCTCCGGCTTCTGGTGCGGTATTGTCTGTACCGGAGGGCATGCAGAGGCCGTGCACGCGATTCGCATGAGCGCGAGCTGGGCCAAGGTTTCGAAGCACGCGATGTAGCGTTGGGCCTCCTTGGCGAGGCAAGGCCACTGCTGGACTTCCTGGAAGTCCCATGTTTCTGCGAACCATGAGACGGAACGGCTGGATATAAACCAGCCGCCTATTCCGACTTTGGTGCCTTCGGCACAAGCATCGGCGGCTGCTTTGCGTGCCAGGATTGGCTTGCTTCGCAGCGGGCATGCCAAGTCTGCCTGAAAACATTGAAGGAGCCACTCGATGTTAGCCCTGCTTGCTGCGGACAAGCGAGTGTGCTCGGCAGCGGGGTCGGCTACGCGCACCCACGCCGGCTTGTGACTGGGCACAACGCGAGGCAAGTCGGAGGGGCTGCGGCATAAAGATGCCGTGCACGGGCGAGGCTAGTACGGCTTTGGCGTTTAGCGCCGAAAGGAATGCAGGCCACAGGCGTGCGTTCACGGAGATCATGCATCCCGGCGGCGAGTGCAGATCTGCATGTAAGGGCGCAAGCCAAGATCGCAATTCCAGACTTAGGCTGGTGGCCCAGATGAGCAGCCCCAGGACTTGCTCCAAAAGCTTTCTTTTGATTCTTTTGGATCGGAGCAATGCGAACAGCTGTTCTTTCAGCTTCAGGGTTTTGAGTGGAGTGAGTTCAATTGTTTCCAGGCTGAAGTTGATTGACCATCCGCACCAAGTCAGGCAGTTTTGAAGTTGCACTTTTTTCCAGGAAATGGGCGCACTGATGGCTGCGAAGAATATGACAACTAGCGCCCAGCTCTACGCGGGTGTGCTGACAGAATGCCGTGTAGCAGTCTGAGCAAGAAAGCTCCTGTTCGTTGCCACCAGTAGGCGGAGAACCGAGCTCCGAAGTGGCACACGGTTGGTACAAAGCGTCTGCGAAGCGAAAAAGGAGCAAGCCATGTTCGCTAGGGTGTACCTGAATTTGCTTGTGTGCGGAAAACTCGCGCCTATGAAAGAAGCATGGGCGTCTTATACCTGGCCCCCTTAAGCAGCTTGAGTCTCTCAAAACACTTAACAAAGGAACCCTGAGCGCAAGCACTCCTTTTCAGCACACGGGGTAGAGCATCAAAGGTAAGGAAAGGTCCTTCTCAGAAAGAGGGGACCCCCAAAAGGAAAAGGGTTCACCCGGAAAAGTTCCCCAGAAGGCCAAAGAGTGAGGCAGGCAAGCGCCCCGCCCGAACCAGCCACTTGGTGTGGCAGGCGTAGCCACTCACTCCTCCAACCTGGGTGGGTGAAATGGAAGGAAAGGAAAGGTTTGAGCCTCAAGCTGCAACTCAACAGTTAAGGGCTATAACGCCGCAAGTGCAAGCACTAGCAATCCTTATACCTGGAGCCCTTAAGCAGCTTGAGTCTATCAAAACACTTAACAAAGGAACCCTGAGCGGCACTCCTTTTCAGCACACGGGGTAGGGCATCAAAGGTAAGGAAAGGTCCTTCTCAGAAAGAGGGGATCCCCCAAGAAGGCCAAAGCGGGTGAGGGCAGGCAAGCGCCCCATGTCGAGAACTCGCACGCACCCCCTGTAAACTGAGTGCTCGACCGTGTGTAGTGACCTGAGGCGGCACAGGCGGACAGACACGGCAAACAAACACATGTGTGCAGGCATGATCGGCAAACCACTGCGCAAGACATGCATGGGAAATGAAACGGCGCACAGGC